CAACTTGGTTATTAAGCAATGGGGTTGCTAAGTGAACCTGCAGCTGGGCGTCCTTCAGTTTTCCTTTGCTCTGCAGACCTGCGAAGGTCATAAACGCGAAGCTTGGTCGCAGAGTTACTTTTTCATCGTTGTCGTAACAGTGAACGGTCACTAAACGAGGCGGTCGTGGAATGAGGACTCCCTGTAATTGCTCTTTGTTGGTGGTTTGCAGGAGTGGGGTTTAGGGCCCTGCCTCTCAGCCTGTGGTGGGAGTCCAGGTACCGTCTTGGCAGGACACACGAATGTCGCACGCAGTGGGGCTCCCTGCTTTGGATGCGAGACACTTTGTGCAGATAAAAAAAGTGGTGTTGCCCAAAGCAGGTTGCGGGTTGAGCCTGTTGTGTGAAGCCAGACCGAGGGACCAGTTTGCTGCAGGAGGCGCAACCTGCCCGTGTTTCTGAGGCCTCAGATCCAATGGCATTCAGCAGAAATGGGCCCCTGGAGATGGGTGGGACTACAGTGCCCCTAGTTCCCAGCCAGCAAGGCCCCTGCTGTGATGGGCGGCGGATAAAGAGACCGGCCCCTGCAGTCCGGAGACCCTTTGCCCGCCCTCCTCGCCTTGGACCGGGCAGCCTTTGTGCGTCAGGACATGGATCCAGTGGCCGCGGGTGGCTGGGGATCGATGTGATGCCCCCCCCTTGCTGGCTATCGACCCTCCTGGCCGGCTTTGGCAGAAGTCCAAGACGGGCCCCTCCCGAGCTCCCCCCTTGGCCCCTGGCAGGGAGGGCAGCTTCCTTCCAAGGCTGCATTTGGGCTGGCATGGAGCGATCGAGCGAGCCAGCGAGTGGCAGCTGGCAGTCGTTAATTCCTTTCGGTGTCCTGTGAAAGGAAAGGAGACCTCAGGGGGGCCCCCTCCCCTCCCCGACCTTCTTTTCTTCCCTTCACTCTGTCCTCCCTTCCTTTCTTTCCAAAAGGGAGCTTCTCCCCTCCTTCCCCTTTGAGCTGAAGATGGCCTCCTGGCCTTTGTGGCAGTTGGAGGGCAGTGGAGGGCAGCCAAGGGGTCACTTCTAGCCCCCCCACACACACACATATATATACACACCTTCACCAGCATGGCTGTCTGGCTCATGCACACAGATTCATTCATTCGTTCATTCGTTCATTCATTCAGTTTCAATGTTGCCCATCTCCCAACAAGCTGACTCTTGGATGCTCAGCCCTTGAGGTAATTGGCCCAAGCCATTAATTGTGGTCGTAACTTGAGGGCTACCCGTAGTTTCTTGGGTTCTCCTTTTTCCCTGGCTGTAGACAGGGACACTTGCCTCCTCCTGGTCACTTACAAAAACAAAATACCTGCGGGTCAGCCTCATCTTCGGCCCTTTGCTTGGGGCCCTCAGGTACGATTCATGCAGTCTGACATGCTCACATTGACATTGTGGGGTTCTCACACAAAAGTGGGATGCAGCATTAATTAAGTGTATCTGTTGTGCCCACAGTTTGTTGCTAGGAAGAAAGAATGAGGCCGCCAAGTGGGAGGGCTGGAATATCCCAAAGCAGGTAGTGGTTCTTCCAAGCAGACGCCTTTATTGTTCCACTCCTAAAGGCAGAATCTTGCCAAACTGAAGCATAGATTCTGGAACTATTAAGAAGGGGCTGTCTTCACCCTCTTCGCTCACAGTAGCTATCTGAACTGAGATTTTTACTTATTCTTATTTCGCTGGAATACACTCCCTCCCTTCTGGGAATCTGGGCTACATGGCATCAACTTCCTTCCTTCCTTCCTTCCTTCCTTCCTTCCTTCCTTCCTCTCATGCCCAGCTCCTTCCCTGTTCCCCCTTCCCATTTCCTTCCTTCCTTCCTCCCTCTTATGCCCAGTTCCTTCCCTGTTCCCCCTTCCCATTTCCTTCCTTCCCTCCTTCCTTCCTTCCTTCCTTCCTTCCTTCCTTCCTCTCATGCCCAGCTCCTTCCCTGTTCCCCCTTCCCAGTTCCTCCCTCCCTCCCTCCCTCCCTTCCTCAGATGTGCCAAGAGGTGAGTTAGGAAGACTGAGGGCTGGGACTAGTAGTTGCTATCTCTGCCTTGTTTTCTCTGTGTTTGATCATACTTGTAGCCCTGTTGTAGAATTCAAGTGTGCAGCCAATTACAACATGAGGCGGAGGTTGAGTTCCTTGGCAACCTGCTGCCTGCAGGATGTAGAAGGAAGAGATGCTGAGAGCGGTTTCTATGGAGGCTGCCTTTTCAGCCGGTCCCCAAAGTAGCAAAGTGCACAACGAACAGGAGGCGAGCAGAAGGGAACGTTGTGCAGCCTGGATCCAACACCAAGAATAACCGACATGCCTTCCGCTAAAAACAATCTCTAGCCTTTGTGAAGCCTCCGAGGGGTGTGGATGTTCTCGGAGCAGCGGGGATTTTGGAAACCGGCGGCCTGTCCCTCTGTCCTCTGGGCTTGATCTTTACTTCCTTGTAAGAAGAGCCAGGTCTCCTGGGCACCTGGCAAAGAGGGGGAGGGGTGGGCTCTGCTGGGGGGCTCTCGTTCCGTCACCCTCTCGGTCTTCACGTTTCCAAAAATATCAGGGTCCCCACCCAGCCAGGAGAAATGTTACAGGCTCTTCAGTTGATTCCACGCAGGCTTGGGGGGAAATCTCCACTGGGTAGGCTGGCAAGTGGCATAAAGATGGGGGTCAGCCTGTCCCCAGCCTTCGCTGGCCTGTTGGCAGCAGCCCAGGAGAGTCGTGATAGCAGGGATAACCCCTTCCTTCCCCTCCCCCCCCCCATGGAGGGTAGCTCACCTGCTCGTTCTTTTTTCTCCAAGGTCCGGAGAGAAACCCAGAGGGGATGAGGGTCAGCAGGAGCTGGACAGCTGGGCCTGGGCGCTCCACTAGTGAGAGGCTCCCGTGCTCATGGGGGACGGTCTCCTTCCTTCTCACATCTGGAGCACCATCCCCGCTCTCACCTGTGCAGCTGATACATCTGCAGCTTTTGCAGCCTGGAGCCCCCTTCAGAAGGCTGCAGCCTTTTAATCTTGAGCCTGATGGACAGTAGGATCCATCGCTCCCCTCCCTGGATTTCGATCAGGTGGATGGGGACGTGGACCTGCTGCCCTCCTTCTCTGGGGAAAGGGCTTTCGTGGCTGGGTCCAACTTGGGATGCAGCTTTTCTCTCACCTGGATTGGAAAGCCTCACAGGGTCTAGACCAAGGGTGGCTCAGGAATTCTGGGAGTTGAAGTCCACGAGTCATAAACGAGCCAAGGTTGCCTACCCTGGTCTAGACCCTCAGCAGGAGGTCTGGAGTCCTCTGTACTCGGGGGATGGTGTCCACCTGCCCACAGGGGATGTCCTTGGGTGCCCAGGGTGGCCCTCTCCAGAAGATCAGATTTTCCTCTGCTTGGCCAGGCAGGCAACGTCTGCAGGGGGCTTGAGCCTGACCCCAACCTAGGGCAAAGAGAGCAGGAACACCCTCCTTCCCCAGCGGGGATTCCAGTTAGGGATGCCTTGTTTGCTCAGCCTGCCCCCCCTCCCCCCTCCATCTCATGTCAGCCAAGGAGCACTGAGCTACTCCGCGTTGGCTCTGTCATCTTCTGTGGCTTGGCCCGTGCCCTCCTTTCATT